GTATCGTTATCTTAAAGCTTTTTTTCTCTCGTTAATTCACCCATAAGGTATATAACATAGATATAATGGTTAGGAGAAAAGACTGATAAGGTCTTTCTCTCTCTTTCTCCCTCTCCCTCTCTCTCTCTCTCTCTTTCTCTCTCTCTCTCTCTCTGTGTCTTTCTCTATCTCTATCTAACTCCCTTTCATCTTCTCTCTCATTATCTTATGCGACGACGATGTACTTTTGTTATGGTGAGCTAAAACTGTATCGGTGATACTTAGGGATGACAAATTAGTGAGATAGCTGCCGTTGCCCGGATAATAAACGCTTGGCAATGAAGATGTCGTGCACGACGATATCTCGTCAAGGAAGATGTTTTCAAGATAATCAGAAGATTCTTATCTTGTTCAACTCTGAAACTTGTGTTACCTCGTTACGATAAAATGCATTTTAGAGGTTTATGGTAAATTTTACTTCTTCTTCTCCTTCTTCTTTTTCTTTCTTTACCTTTCTCTATCTATCTATCTATCTATCTATCTATCTATCTATTTATCTATTTTTCTTCCTTCCTTCCTTTCTTCCACTTTTCTTTACCTATCTATTCATTCCACTTTTTCTTCGTTGTAATGGTCAAATAGGGAATTCGGATATTACTTAATACGAACGTTTTCTTTTTCTTTTCTTTTCTTTTCTTTTTTTTTTCCTTTTTTTCCTTCTTCTTCTCTTTTCTTATTCCGAGGATATCTACACGCCGATGAGAAATGCTTTTAAACTAATTGCACGATTCGCGTCGTGAGAAAAACTGCAGATTGTGTGTTCAAAGAGAGACGCCAAAAGTTCCGTCGAGGCTTTTACCCTCTTTCCTTCTCCACGAATGCACGCTCTTCCAAATCTATTTGCTTTCCTCTCTTTCTCTCCCTCTCTCTCTCTCTCTCTCTCTCTCTCTTTCCTTTTCTCTCTTTTTCACCATCTCTCTAGTTTTCTCTTTAACGTGGCACCAAGTTTTATTTCTAGTTATACGTACTCCCTCTTCCACGATTTTAAACGAAAATTTCATTACAGGCGACATCAAAGCACTCTACTCGTGATGTTCGAACTTTCCCTCTCTGGCCAATACGAATCGACGACGATACCTTCGAAGTTCAGATATATCGCTTATCACGGACACTCCATTCGAGTAATAAGTTTCGACGGAATGTGGGCGATGGAATTTCCTGTTGTTAACAAAGTATTGGCATTTTGTGTCGAGTTTCCGAGTGGCTTTGCTTTACCCGGTAAAATTCGTAGTTTAACTTCGTTTACGTATATTATCTACTATGATCAAGCGTACTTGTATTGATGAAAATCGAACGTTGAATAATCGTTCTAACGACTCATTCAAAAACTCGTTACTTCTACCTCCCAAATCTTTATCATATATATGGTATATGTGTGTATATATAGAATGTCCTAACGAAAAATGTCCATCAGGATTACTATGGAGTTCGGTGAATTTTTTATTTTTTCTTTTATTTTTATAAACGTCAAACATGTCAATTCTACTTGAGATTTTCATAATAGTTATGATGGACACTTTTCGATAGAACATTTGGAAATACATAGATATATACATATATATTTATGTATATGTATGTATATGAAACAATTGAATGTATCTCATTGATTATACCTTTTATGTTTTATTAGTCACTATTACGTGGTTTTCGTGACTAAAAGAATTTTTGCATTTCGTGATTCTTATTTGCCTCGTCTAGACACGATTAAATCGCTGAACGAGCTTTTTACTTGGACATTTTCGATTATAGGCTCACCAAAGCAATTATTCAGAAATAATACGGGAGAGAGAGAGAGAAAGAGAGAGAGAGAGACAGAGAGAGAGAGAGAGACAGAGAGAAAGGGAAAAACAAGGATAGTGTATGAAACTCGTCAGATGGAGCGGACACATACGATTTTACGACTCGGTTATATTCCATAACGATTACAATCCCGCATGAGGTTGCTGCCGGTATGCACGACAGTTTCAAGCATTTCGTGGTGCAAACGGTAATTGGAAATTACGACACCGGATATACCTCGATGAGAGATAGATGATAACTATGGGACGTTTGTAAGGTCGATAGCAAAAGGGTTGTTTGTCTCGTAGAAGTATCTATCAAATAATACGTTGTATCGTTTATCTTGATTTCATTGAAATTCTATGAATTGACATGCGACAACATTTGCTATTTGATTTTTCTTTTATTCTTGATTTAATAATTATATTTAATATATTTAATAACTTTTTTTGAATTCATAAATTTAATAAATAATCCTTTAAATTTAATAAATGTAAAGGGATAAAGAAAAATGTTTATATATTGTATACGTTTAAGTAACATCGCGTAAGTTAATTTTCTCGAATGGTCGTGGTTTTTATCTAATGGGGGGAGGGGAAAAAAGAAAAGAAAAAAGAAAAAAGGAAAAAGAAAAAAGAAAAAAAAAATCAAAGAGAACGACGAGTCATTCCTTTAGAATTAACGTTCGAAAGAGGACGTACGATACTTCGTTCTTTTTTCTTTGTTCTCTTTCCTTTTTTCTTTCTTTTTTTTCTTTTTTCTTTTTCTTTTTCTTTTTATCATTAAACATTTGGAAATAAATCCAAATGTGGTTTTGGTGGGATCACGAGAAAGGAGAAAAGGAT